CCTGTGATTCATTAAGTGGCTTCCTAGGATTAGGCTTAGGGAAATGGTGCAATAGGATTATACCTTTTGAGTACTGTAAGAGGGAGCGTCTAGTAAACGCTGTTTATTCCATGCTATCAGAGTTCCAGTAAGTTAACTCATGAACTTATTATAAGAAAGGTAACAATGTCCTGTATGGAAGGATTGGCCTATCATTTGGCTCACACCACAAACCAGTCTGAGAAGAAAATACTGCTGTCTCCCCATTCTTCCATGTTTGAAATTTTTTTCAAGGGCCTTTACTTGTGCCTCCTTCAGTGAGGTTTTGAATGAGAAATGTAATTTTAAGTGCAGTTCATGATATTGGTTCTTCGGGTCAGAGGTGAGTTTTAAAGCTTCATATTTAGCCTTTACATCCATGAAATGATTGCCTTTGCTTTTTGAGTTGACTGATTTTGAATGTCCAGAATTTTTTTAGAATAGCTAATGATTTCAGTTTCTGAATTGCTTCTAAAAACAATGACCTATGGCTATTCCAACTGGGTTGCCCTGGGAAGGTTAAGAATTGTGTTTTCCCATAGCATCCCCAAATCATGGGATACTGTTCATGTAAATATTACCCACCTTGTCTTGCTTTGTTAAAGCAATCAGCTCAGTTTACTGGGCTGATTTTGCTACTGGGAGAGGGTTGTTTTCTATGATCTCTATTAAAGAGAAAACTGCATATCCTGCATTGTATTTCCTAGAGTCTTCTCCTAAATAGATGCATCAGTAACCCAAAAAAAACTGCATTATCAGGGGAGGGGTAGTGAAGGAAACTCTTGCAAATCCTATCTGGGAATGAGGATCTGGTCAATCAAGGTAATATAGCTATGGGGCATCTCATCAGAAGTCAATGGTGGAGTCTAGGTGAAGATAGTTTGAAAAAGTGGAAAGAATGCAGTCTCAGGGAAGAGTTAGGGAGAAAACAGAGAGGAAACTCTATGTATATTGTAGGAACACAGTGGACCTACGTGGAGGGCAAAGATGCATACAACTAGGACCTCAGCAGCTGAGGGTCTCTGCACCAGTGTTGGAGAGTGAGGTGAGATCAGATTGTAGCAGCCCAAGCCACTGGCAAAAAGGCTGCAGGAAGAGCCAAGAGGGAATCCAACTTGGAGCCCCGTGAGGGATAGTGTACCCACCAAACTAGAGGAGAAAAAACAAAGAGGGGCCACAATTTTTCTCTCTCCCCAATCAGCCTGCAAAGGCATCCTGTAACAAGCTGACAGAGAGTAGGTGCCATTTTGAACATACATAACAGCTGCTCCCAGCAATCAGCCAAGCTGAGACTCCTGAGTCTGGTGGGGAGAACAGACAGGGGGCTGGGTGCTCTTGACTGTGGGAGCTTGTGTGCCAGGACTGTGAAAACACTGAGGCTGTGTGGGAGGACTCACGATGTGACTGGGACATTAAGCAGTCACTGTGGGAGGCTCCACATAATCCAGGCTCCCTGATTACCTGTGAGGGGCATTCTGGGGAATCCGAGCTTACAGTAAGGACTGCACAGATTCTTTGTGTGGTCCTTGTGGTAGAACAGACCAATAATATACTCACTGGGGATAGCACCCAGGCACTGGTCTTCTTCAAGGAGAGGTGCTCAGTTGAGTCTATGCCAACAGACATGAAGAAATCTCCCCTCTGATGAAAAAAAATTTACTAGGTCAAATCTGGGTGTGTCACCTCAGACACATCCTTCACCTGGCGCACTGAACAGAGCTCCTGGCCACTCCCAGCACATGCCTCTAGCTATTCCCTGAAAGCAGACACTCTATAAATCCACTCAGAGATAGTCCAAAGATAAAAGCTGCCACAGTGAGAAAACAAGGAAACCAATAAGTTTCCTCACAAATGCCAAATAACAAATGCACAAATCCAGGACACAAGAATAAAGTAGACAACATGACACCCCCTAAAAACATAACACCTCAATACTAGATTTTAAAGATGATGAGATTGAAGAAATGCCATAAATGGAATTAAAAAATTGGTCATAGGATTACTTAGAAGTAATCAGAAGCAAATGCATGAACTAATGAAATCTACACATGACATGAAAGAAAATTTCTCCCACAAGATAGAGATATTAAAGAGAAATCAAAATAAAATCTTGGAAATGGAGAATTTAATAGAACAAATAAAAAATATCATAGAGAGCCTTAACAACAGAATCAATGAAGCAGAAGAAAAAAATCTGACTTAGAAGATAAAGTATAGGAAATTATATAGTCAGACCAAACACAAGAAGAAATTAGAAAACTAAACAACACTGTTAGGAATGGATAGGATACTAGCAAACAACCCAATATATGGGTCCTAGAAGTTCCTGAAGGCATGGAAAAAGATAGAAAGGACTAGAAGGGCTTTTTAGAAAATGTACCCAATTTGGAGAAAGAAAGGGACATGCAATTACAGGAAGTACATAGAACTCCTAATATACATGACCAGAAAAGATCTTCACCATGACACATTGTAATCAAGCTCTCAATCAAGTAAAACAGAAAGATAAGATTCTAAAATGTGCATGAGAGAATTGCCAGATTACTTTCAGAGGATCTCCAGTTACACTCACAGCAGACTTCTCATGAGAAACTCTAAAGGCTAGGAGAGAATGGCAAGATATATTCCAAGTCTTAAGAGAAGAAAACTGCCAATCAAGAATACTATACCTTGCAAAGCTCTCATTTATGAATGATGTTGAAATAAAGTCCTTCCATGACAAACAGAAACTGAAAGAATTTATCACCACCTGTCTGACCTTGCAGAAGATGCTTAGGATGTGCTGCACACAGAAACACAGAAACATGGTCATCACTACTAAAGAAGGTAAAGGAAGGAAATCTCGCAGTAAAAGTACAAAGAGAATCCAAAATAAAAAAATAGAAATATATGTGGAAAATGGCAGAGCAAAGTCATTACTTATCACCTTGAATGTAAATGGCCTCAACTTTCCAGTTAAAAGACACAAACTGGGATGGCGCCACGGCTCACTTGGCTAATCCTCTGCCTGCGGCACTGGCACCCTGGGTTCTAGTCCCAGTTGGGGCACTGGGTTCTGTCCCAGTTGCTCCTCTTCCAGTCCAGCTCTCTGCTGTGGCCTAGGAAGGCAGTGGAGGATGGCCCAAGTCCTTGGGCCCTGTACCCACATGGGAGTCCAGGAGGAAGCGCCTGGCTCCTGGCTTCAGATCAGTGCAGCACACTGGCCATAGTGGCCATTTGGGGGATGAACCAACAGAAAAAGGAAGACCTTTCTCTCTGTCTCTCTCTCTCTCACTGTCTAACTCTGTCTGTCAAAAAAAAAAAAAAAAAAGATGATGAGACAGACTGGCTGAACAGATTAAAAACAAAACCCGTCTATTTGCTGCCTACAAGAAAAACATATCACCAACAAAGTGCAAACCTTTTTTGCATGTAATCCTTCATTATTGATCTAATATTTTCTATAATCTCTGGTATTAGAGGGTATGTCCTGTATTGTGCAAAGGAGTTAAGATTTCACGTCAACTTTAATAGAGTTGACAGTATATTTTTCCAATACCTATGCATGATTGAGACCACATGTGTTCTGGAAAATTTTGCAATAGATCATTCACTTACTTACTCACTTCTGGATTAGAAAAAAAATTTGTTCAATTTAAATTTGCATTGGTTTTATTTCTTCTGCATTAAATTACTCAAATTGCTTGTCTTATTCCTGTTTTCTTGGGTCCATTTCCAAAATTTCTCTATTTTGAGAGAAGGAAATTTGTGTTATAGGTTTCTAAAAATTCTCTACTATAATGATATATTGGGGGGCCAGAACAATAACAAAGATATAGAATCAATCTGGATGCCTATCAAGTGATCCCTGGATAAAGAAAATATGTTATGTATATACAATGGAATATTACTTAAGTGTGAAAAAAGAATGAAATCCTGACATCTGCAACAGACTGGTGGAACTAGAAACCATTCTGTTAAGTGAAAGAATCCATACCCCAAAAGGTAAATATTACATTTTCTCTCATATATGGAAGTTAATATATAGGGAGTATAAGAATTGTGTAGATATTTATAAATATTGTCTTTATTAATTCATAACATCTACATGACAATACATCCTTCTTTCCTCACTTTGTGATAAATGTCATGAATCTCACATTATGTATTATTAATATCCTTGTTTTCAAAAAAAGTAATATTTAATGTATCTGTATAGTATTTACATATGTTAAAAATTGTTAAGTCTAAAATTTAAAAAATGCTTCTGGGAGCACAGAGAAAAAAGAAATGTCACACTATATCCCATAAATATGTATAATTACTGGTAAAATGATAATCTAATTAAAAATAAATTCCTTTCTCAACTATTAGGGAAGGATAACAAAACAAAATCTTCCCCTAACCCAGGACAACTGTCTTAAAATAGAAAATAAATAAACCAACTTTATTAAAGAATAAGCATTCAGTCAGAATGTGATGTCTATCACATGGAAAAGACAGAATTTCATCCCTTAATATCTCCAAACCGATACAACCTGTTACATACATGATTTCAAGATAGACAACTATTAGTTTTAAGACAAGAGAACTTAAGAATGCCCTTTGTCACATGGTGTTTGTTCTAATTTTATAAAAGTATTTGGGGAGAACCCTTGAGTTGCCTTTATTGGGAGGAGTGACAAATTTCTCATTGTAAGTTAGAACAAAGTAGCCTCAGAACTTAGACTCTCACCTGTGCATGGCAACTGGGAGATGAGGTGATCACATCCTCAACATTTGTAGCTCACAAAGATGGTTTCCAGGTCATTGAGGATGTTGTGGGACTGAAAGAGGCTTGTTTAATCATTATAAAGATATATATTCATTTGGAAAATTTTTTCCTGCAGTAGCCTTTTAATTTTAAATGCCTGATCTCTGTGTATGGAACCCTCTCCAACACTTGATATGATATTTAATTTATTTTAAATTTCAGCACTGCAGTAGATGTGTAGTGGTATCTCACTATAGTTTTAATTTGCATTTCACTATTTCTCTAGTTTTGATATTAGACACCTTACCCGTGCTTGCTTGCCATTAAAAAGCACCAGCATAGGCCTCTCAGAAAATACGCCATTTTGGTACGGATATTTTGACCTGAAAAGAAATGAACAACAGCAAAATCAGGAAGAATTTTCTGTCATCTTCTTTTTTGCCTAAAAGCGAGGAATAAAGTTCCCTTTATAAAAGTGATTTGAGATGAGATTGGGCACATTCAGGGACAGTCTATTTAACAAATGGTGCTGGGAAAAACTGTATTTCCACGTGCAGAAGCATGAAGCAAGACCCTTACCTTACACCTTACACAAAAATCCATTCAGCATGGATAAAAGATCTAAATCTACAACCCAACACCATCAAATTATTAGAGAACATTAGAGAAACCCTGCAAGATATAGGCACAGGCAAAGACTTCTTGGAAAAGACCCTGGAGGCGCAGGCAGTCAAAGCCAAAATTAACAATTGGGATTACATCAAATTGAGAAGTTTCCGTACTGCAAAAGAAACAGTCAGGAAAGTGAAGAGGCAACCGACAGAATGGGAAAAAATATTTGCAAACTATGCAACAGATAAAGGATTAATAACCAGAGATAAAGAAACTCCACAACAACAAAACAAATAACCCACTTAAGAGATGGGCCAAGGACCTCAATAGACATTTTACAAAAGAGGAAATCCAAATGGCCAACAGACACATGAAAAAATGATCAGGATCACTAGCCATTAATGAAATGCAAATCAAAACCACAATGAGGTTTCACCTCTCCCCAGTTAGAATGGCTCACATAAAGAAATCTACCAACAGCAGATGCTGGTGAGGATGTGGGGAAAAAGGGACACTAACCCACTGTTGGTGGGAAGGCAAACTGGTCAAGCCACTATGGAAGTCAGTCTGGAGATTCCTCAGAAACCTGAATATAACCCTACCATACAACCCAGCCATCCCACTTCTTGGAATTTACCCAAAGGAAATTAAATTGGCAAATAAAAGAATTGTCTGCACCTTAATGTTTATTGCAGCTCAATTCACAATAGCTAAGACCTGGAACCAACCCAAATGCCCATCAACAGTAGACTGGATAAAGAAATTATGGGATATGTACTCCATAGAATACTATACAGCAGTAAAAAAAAAAATGAAATCCAGTCATTTGAAACAAAATGGAGGAATCTGGAAAACATCATGCTGAGTGGGTTTAGCCAGTCCCAAATATCATGCTTTCCCTGATTCATGACAACTAACTGAGCACCTAAAAGGAAACCTGTTGAAGTGAAATGGACACTATGAGAAACAGTGACTTGATCAGCCCTTGTACTGACTGTCCAGGAAAAACTTTCTACTTTATTCCTTTTAGTATTTTTTTTGTTCTACTTAATACTATTGGTTGAATTATGTAATTAACACACAATTATTCCTAGGTATTTAAATTTAACTGAAAAGTGATCCCTGTTAAATATAAGAATGGGAATAAGAGAGGGAGGAGATGTACAGTTTGGCACATGCTCACTCGGACTTACCCCTAATGGTAGAGTTAGAAACGTGCCAGGGGATTCCAATTCAATCTTATCAAGGTGGCATGTACCAATGCCATCTCACTAGTCAAAGTGATCAATTTCAGTTCACAGTTGATCATACTGATATGTCTAAGTGTCAAAGGGATCACATAAATAAGACTAGTGTCTGCTAATACTAACTGATAGAATTAAAAGGAGAGAATAATCCAACATGGAAAGCGCATTACATAGCAGACTCATAGAATGGCAGATGTCCTAAACAGCAGTCTGGCCTCAGAATCAGCCCTTAAGGTATTTGGATCTGGCTAAAAAAGCCCATTAGAGTATTTCAGGCATGGAAAGCCAAGACACTCTGGCAAGAAAAAAAAAAAAAACCTAAATGAAAGATCTCTGTGAGTGAGATCCCCGTGTAAAGAATGGGCCATCAAAGAAAGAGGTACCTTTCTCTGAAGGGAGGAGAGAACTTCCACTTTGACTATGACTTTGTCTAAATAAGATCAGAGTTGGTGAACTCAAGAGGCTTCCATAGCCTTGGCAACTCATGACAAGAGCCTAGGGTGATTACTGATGCCATAAATAAGAGTGTCAATGTGTTAAGTCAACAACAGGAGTCACTGTTCACTTACTCCCCATATAGGATTTCTGTATAATGTGTTGTACTATGTGAAATAACAGTATAACTAGTACTCAAACAGTACTTTATACTTTGTGTTTCTGTGTGGGTTCAAACTGTTGAAATCATTACTTAGTATATACTAAATTGATCTTATGTATATAAAGAGAATTGAAAATGAATCTTGATGTGAATGGGATGGGTGAGGGAGTGGGAGATGAGATGGTTGCAGGTGAGAGGGAGGTTATGGGGGAAAAAGCCACTATAAACTAAAAGTTGTACTTTAGAAATTTATATTTATTAAATAAAAGTTAAAAAAAGTGATATGAACTTCCATTTGTAAAGGTTATCTCTCTATTGTGCTAGGAAGAGGAGGATGATTCTTACTTCTCTGCATAGCTGGCCTTGGTAAGTACTCCTTATCTACTTTACCTTTCCTAGTCACTTTCTCACAATTAACATGGTAGTAACTTAAACACTGCTCGTCTTGGTTTTGTCACTTCACAACTGCTCATCTTTTGTAAAAATGGTATAAAAGCTCACAGGCTTAAAGACCTCTTTAGATTTTGATCTTTCTTCTGCAAAACCCTTGTAACATATAAAATTTTAAACATCAATGAAATTTGTTTGGCCTTTTGCCCTCTTAGTCTTTTGCCAGCTTAAATCACTGGTCCTAGTAAAAGAATATGTGGGTGGAAAATATCTTTTTGCTATCCCACACCATTCATATATCTTCAAGCAGTGCCTGTGGCATTTCTTGCCGAACTTTAATTTTAAATTGGATTTTTTGCTTTATTATTGGTTTTGTATGTTTTGTATATATTCTGAATATTAATCTTTTATCAGCTGTGTGTTTTTCAAATGCTTTATTCTTGTCTATGTCTTGGCATGTTAGCAGTTAGCAGTGATTTTAAAATTTAACATCAATTTGTTTTCTGTGAATTGTACTTTTAGTCTGACTAAGAAAAATTTGCTAATCCTCCATAACCCACAGATTTCCTATTGATTTTTTTTTGAAGATTGGTAGTTTCATGTTTTACATTCAGAACTATGATCAATTTTGAGTTAATTATTTTTGTATATGGTATAAGATACTACACAAAAAGGCAGCTATTTTGTTTTTTTGAACATGGTTCTCCAGTTATTGTACACAATTTTTTGAAAAGGCTATCCTTTCCATTAAAATATCTTTTCATCTGTTGAAAAATGAAACAAGAGTCCAGAAGAACCATGCAGCACTCCAGACCAAACATGGTTCTGAATAATCCCTCTTACAACGTTGTGATCTACTTTCCAAACTAGGAACATGGGAAATGATATACAGAAATTACCTGAATGATGCAGTTTGGAATTTGATGTTTAGGGTCATAACTTGCAGTTTTCAGACTCTGACTGAGGCACAGTTGCTTAGCTGCAAGAATATACTTTGGGGTTAGGTTATAATTTACTGGTGTATCAAGCAATGTCATTATTCACTTCATACAAAGGCCAGTTTTAACAAACTCTCAAGTGTAAGACTAGTTTAGGTCAGTGTATTGTAGTTTAACATGTATTTGTCAAAATTTGGTGTTCTGTGCATTTATGGGACTGTTTATGACTTTTTATGGACTATATTAATAAGATTTGCCTTTATTTACTTCCATAGTATAATATTTTACCTACTGTAATTCCTGAAATAATGTAATTTTTGGCCTCCCATTTTATTCTTTCTAAAAATTGCTTTGGCTATTCCGAATCTTCTACTTTCTATATGAATGTTAGAAGCAGTTTGTTAATCCTCATAAAACTATCTACGATTGTTTTTAATGGAATTTTCATGACTGTACAACAACTGGGGGAAACTGATACCTTACAGTATTAAGTACTATATATATCCATGAATGGGGTATATCTTTCCATTTATTTAGGACTTCTTTGTTTAATTTACTCAAATATATTAAAAGTGAAAGTTTCTACATTCTGCTCACAACATTAGAAATTTTTGGAGAAAATGTAATGCTTTTGATTCTTGTAGTAAATAGGTAATAGGTGAGCAAGGGAGTTTGGAGAGGGATGTACAGAATCCCTGGAATGTAAGATAGAATTGAACATCTAAAGATCTGCAATTAGTTGTGGCTTGACATATTGGAAATTGTTGGTGCATGTGGGGAATGTGAGAAGGGAAATGTGTGACTAGATCCTTATCGTATATGCTCTTTGAAGAAACTCTATTTCTATCCTTTTAGCAATAAGGCTACTGAAAGATTTTAAGCAGAGGAATTACATGGAATCTAAAAGGTCACTCAGAGTCAAATGATTTGCTTCAACATTTTAGAAGCTGTTTGCATTTTAATCTTTGTAAACTGGTGGAACAGTCTCCGTATTTGAGGAATATTAGATGTCCCACTGTATAAATACAATTTATTTTCATTTGTTTTAAATTTGTTTGTTTTTAGCATTACAAATTATATCTCAGATTTATTTACACTGGACTCTGGTGAGCAAGTATAACCCTAACACTATACCTGATTCCAATGTTATTCATATTTTCAGTGATTTCAATTTCTTTTTTGACAGGCAGATTTAGACAGTGAGAGAGAGAGAGAGAGAGAGAGAGAGAAAGAGAAAGGTCTTCCTTTCCGTTGGTTCACTCCCCAAATGGCCGCTACAGCCAGTGTACTGTGCTGATCCAAAGCCAGGAGCCAGGTGCTTCCTCCCGGTCTCCCATGCAGGTGCAGAGCCCAGGGACTTGGACCATCCTCCACTGCCCTCCCAGGCCACAGCAGAGAGCAACCAGGACAGAATCTAGCACCCCAACTGCGACTAGCACCTGGGGTGCCAGTGGAGGATTAGCCAAGTGAGCCATGGAGCCGGCCAATGATTTCAATTTTTCAGCATACTCTCTTTTGTTATAATTTAGCTATACAAAAAGGTTTAGTTGTTTTTATTGCTATTTTTAATTGTTGCTTGTCTTATGCTCAGGTATAAATTCCCTTATACATTTGGTGACCTAAATTTTTGCTCCCTGTATGTATTCCTTATCATCAATGCTTGCCCATACTCAACACTGTCACTCCAACGAGATTTTCCACACTATCATTTCCCTTAATTAAACAGATATGTTAATTTTTTATTATATTGTCTCTATATAACCAATTCAATTGCTTTTTCCTTCTTAGAGTTTCTATTCTAGGCAGGGAACAACATACACCATGGCATTTAACTTTCTACATTTTGTCACAACCTGAGTGAATGTGGGAGACAGCATATTAATGGTTTCTTAAATTTACAATTTTTTCTCTGCTATTAATATGCAGTTTGTAAAAGATCCATGATACAATGATTCTATTTTAGCACAGCAGGATTGTGTAGACTGCTGACAAGTTAGGTAACAATTGAGTCAAGGTTTATACACAGTAAAACCTAGCCTTCTCAATTACCAATCTAATTTCTTTCTTCATTTTTGTGTTGAAAAATTCATTTATACTACTTAAAAGAGAATTGTACTCCCAAAATACATATCTTCTTAATGAACTTCTGTTTCTAATTTATGTTCATTGTTGATTATTTTCCCTTTTAATTCTGAATTTCATATTTCTTAAAATAAGGAACTCTTTATCATATCAGCATCATTTGTTTCCCTTGAAAGAAATAAAAGGATATTTCTAATCTGAAATATTTTCATTTTAACCAGGTACTTTCAAATACAATGCTTTGTAAAGTCACTGTGGGATTTTAAAGTACATGTCCCTTGGCTATACTATGGGAAGAAGTTTGCCCAGTTCTGCATCTTCTTGGCAAATGTCTTTCTTCCCTCTCTTTAATCTTTCAAACACTCTTGTCCCAGCCTGTTGATTGGCTGTGTCTTCACCCCTAAGCAGTTTACACCTGCTTCCACTTAATCAAGTACCTCTCTTTTTCTTCTTTCAAGTATGGAAATTTAGATTTATTTACTGAAGTATTTTTGAACTGAATCATGGTTATTGGAATGTTTTGTTAAATTTATCAACCACATATTTGAAGATATAATTCATAAAAATCTCTTTGTGTTTGAAAAAATTCCAACCTTTTGATAGTAATTTTCTGATATGACTTTTGGAACTATTTGGTTCCAAAGAACTGTTGCGCTCGTATTATGAACAGTTGTCATCAGGCTGAGAAATTATGGCAATGTGTGCGATGGTAATTAGTAATAAGTGATTTTTTCCCCTCTTAGTATTTAGGATAACTGTCACGCCAGATTTGCTTAGTTTAGGTAGCTCAAAGTAATATGATACTTGTTGAAACTTTCCATTAAATGAGACAGAATGAAATATGAAATGAAATACAGATCTACTTGAGACTAATGAAACCTTTATGTCATGTTTCAGTTTTTTTCTCTTGATGACATGCTTTCAAATATTACTTAAAACTTTTCCCCATGATATTTAGGTAGATAGATTATTGTGATGGTGACACAGTCTAAGCATAGCAGTAATATAAGTATCATAAGTTTCAGTATCTTTTGAAGTTTGCAAAACATTTTGGAATCAATTCCTTAGAAAACAAATTATTATGATTTTCTATTATGAATCTGAAACTTATGAATGAATCATTTTTATGAATCATAACAGTGTTATTATATGTTAGAGTAGTAATATACATGAGCAAATAGTAGGAAACATATTTTTTCATCTATAGAAATAAACAATCAGTATATGCAGTGCAAATGGAACAACAGGGTGTGATCAGGAGAAAGAACAGAGGAGCTCACAACAAAAAAATATGTGAGAATGAGGTAGAACTCATGGAATTTTTCTTTATTAAGAGATGCCAATTTTGTTCACACTCAACATTCTTAAAACTAAATATGCAGCAGGTCAAAGGGAGGTCAGGTTAATTCTTGTGATATAACAGCAAGAAATGCTCTGGATAGCTGATGGATAGCTGATGGATAGCTAGGTGTTCTATTTGTAGATTTCCAGTCATTGGATAGGATCAAGTCATTGTAATACTGCTGGAGTTCTTTTATAAATTTGATTGTATCTGAATGTTTTCTTGTCTGGTGGAGTTTCTACTAGCCTTAGCACCATTGAAGTTTAGCTAACCAAATTGACCACACACAAAATTTTGCTGCATAGAGTTCAAGGGTATATGCCTCAATTAGTGGAAATTTGTGGCGCCTCCACACAAAATCCAAGGAATTTTAGAAACCAAGCCAGGTTAACCAATATGGGTGTGAGTCAACGATAAGTGAAAAGAACTCCCCAGGCACTGAGTGCTATTTGGCATTGAAAAGTAGCAATTTGATTTATTTCCTTTATGTTTTTATAAGATCAAAACTTCTTTTTAAAAGAATTTCTTTTAAATATACCTTGAGGAACGATTAACAGTTGTTTTAAAACAGCTGGTGAAATGTTGGAAAAGGCATTATGCCAAATTATTCATGGCAAAGGGTATGAGCGTTTTTTATGCTTTATGCTTCATTCTTCAATTTTAATGAATCATTTCCTTTTCCCTCTAAGTGAATTCAATTTAAAATATCTAATTATCTCATAATAAATAATTCCCTTATTACCTTGAAATTTTCAAGTATTGTTGCTTTTCAATTTATTCTTCTTAGGAAAGATATATTAAGTTTGATTTATATATATGCCCATGTATTTGTCTTATTCTGTTTGTCCTGCTACAGCAGAATACTTGAAAGTGGATAGTTACTAAAGAACCAAACTTACGGGCATCTGTTCTGGAGGCTGAGAATTCTAAGAGCGTGATGCCAACATTTGATGAGGACCTTCTTATGGTGTCACACCACAATGGAAAGGCAGAAGGTAAAGAGAACACAAGAGTGAAACGGAGCAAGAGAGAGCTGAGCTTGTTATAACAAATCCTGGACTGCAATGATTAGCCCACTCTTATGATAAATACAGTCCATTTTTGAGGGCAAAGCTCCTAAGACTTAAGTACATTCATTAAGTCTCACCTCCCACCATCATTGTATTGGGGATAAGGTTTCCAACACATGCATTTTGGAGGACATAGTTAAACCACAGCAGCAATTGAAACAAGATAATGAGGGGTGGTTTACAATAATTAGATTATAGTATTTTTCAGAAATTCTCTATTTTCCCTCACCGTTAGTTTATCCAAATATATATTCTAAAGAGCTATCAAATGTAAATATAACCTTTTATCTATCATAGAGCAGCATAGCAAACAGTATTCCAAAATATTTACTATAAGTTCTAGCAAAAAGTTTTGCTTAACTAAGGAGAATAGGATAAATTGTCTTACAGTGCCATTAAAGAAAAATTGAGGTTAGGCATTTGGCTCAGCAGTGAAGTTGCCACATGGGAAACGTGCAACTCTTATCAGTTACTAGTTCTAGTCTCCATTACTTCATTTCCTGCTGATGAGCATCCTGAGAAGGAACGGGTGATGACTCAACATTGAAAAATATAAAAATATATTATGACGACATTGAAATTTCCAAGAAGTCAGAAAATGGAGACAGTCTATTTTAAATTTTGATGTTCATTTTATTTTATACTTTCACAGTGCTTACGTGGGTTCAAATAATTAGATCATATAGCATATTTTCAATTTATCCTACTTTTTAATTTAATGTTATAGGTTAGCGTAAATGCATAACTAAGATCACAGAAGAATCTGTCATATAATTACAACATCATATATTTTATAATGTCACTAGTATTTAACATTTATGTATTTTCCAAATTTCAATATAATAAACATCAATAAAGTTCTTTGCACCTAAATCTGTTTGAAGCTCTTATTACCTAAGAATGTAAACCTACACTGATTAAATCAATGATCAACACATTTGAAAGTTTTGAGCTTCTGTGAGTATATTTTCAACTTATTTTCTAGATTCCACCAACAATGTATGAATAACAGTATCACCAAAAACTTCTAGATTGGATATTGCTTTATAAATTCCAAAAATGTTACATGCATAGTTGGTATTTTATCATTTGCATCTTCCCTTCTCTAATAATCATGCCTTAAGTGATTTCAATTTTAGCAAATGAAAGTCTGAGGGAATTGAAATATTCAATTTGAATTTATGTCTCTTATAACCAGATATTTAGTGATAATCTTTTGTAGGAGTTTAAAATGTTTTTTCACTGACCATGACAGCAGATAAGTAATTTGTTTCAAAACCATGTTGAATATGACTTATGTTCTAAAATTTTGTGGCCTTGATATTTATTTTGTGTATGGGGGCAATTAAACTAGTTTCTAAATACAATCTGGCCTTACTGTCCTTTTCCCTTACACGGGTTCCATGTGGAGCCGACCTTTGCCTTCCTTGTGAGCGTTACCCTAACGCTTGTTTTTACCCTTGTGACACCAGTTTCTCTTCGTAGCAGCAGATGAATACAGTTTTCAGCTTCTCTAACACTTGCATGACCAGTTCCACCACATCTGATGCCATAGGTTTTGGCACCAGTCCGCAGACAGCCACTGTATAGGAATCAGGCCCAAGGAGAGCTCCCTCTCTGAGGCTTACATGTGCCACTATCTGTCGGGCAGCTTCTGCCTCAGAGGTCTGAGTTTCACTTCCTTGGGACTGCCCCTCCTCCGTGTGTTTAGGTTTTAGTAGTATCAACCTCTTTTGTTGTTGTTGTTGTTGTTTCTCTAATCCTAAGAATATTAACTATTTCCTGTAATTGCTACTCCTCATGTATATTGGTCTGCTTTGTATTGCTATAATGAAATATGTGAGACTGGGTAACTTATAAAGAAAAGATTTTTGCTTACCTCATAGTTTTGGAGACTGAAAGTCCAAGATTGAGGCACATGACCAATGCTGACCTCTAAGGAGACCCCATCACGTGAGGCCATGATGCATCAGATCATGGCAGATGGAACACATGACAGAAGAGCATGAGAATGGATGAACTCACATGGAGCCCACACAATGAAACAGATAGCCAGAGCCACTCAGAGGCTAGGCTTAGGCTTCCATCCTTCTTTCTTTATCTTTTTTCCTTTCTGTTTTTGATTTACTAATTTTTTGAAATTCAGAATTACGGAAAGAGAGAGAGAGGCAGAGAGAGAGAGAGAGAGTGCTTCCATTCAGGGGTTCACTCTCCCAGATGCCCATCACAAAGCCTGGAACTTCATCCAGATCTCCCACAGAGGTAGCAGGGCATTGTCCACTGCCTTTCTTGGGGCATTAGCAGTCAACTGGATTAGAAGTGGAGCAGCCGAGATGTGAACTGGCATCCGTGTGGGATGCCAGCATCCAAAACAGCAGCTTTACCTGCTACGCCACAACACTGTCCCCTAGACTTAGACTTTTATATCAACTTATTTTTGTGAGAATTGATACAGGAGCCCTATCAGAACAACTTTTTCCCCAATATCCTCCCACTAGGCTCCACTTCTTAAATGTTCCATCATTCCTTAATGTCGCCATGCTGGAAACCATGCTCCCAACACAGGAACCTCTGGAGAACAAACCAATCCAGAGCACCATGGTTCACTCACATTCCATTTTCATCTCTTTGTGACCAAGTTCAGAGCTTTATATCTAGTTATAAATTCTGTATATTATTTTCACTTTGAATAATTTGCAAGATTCCCCTCTCCTGACTTGACCATGACTGATACACCTAGGAAAAGATAGTAGCAGAAGATAATGGTAATGTTTTATTTGTTGAAAAGTGTAAGTATAATGACTACTACAAACATATTCAGATAGTCAAAATGCATTAATGTGCAGGAAATGCTGAGTTAAATTCAGTTTTATTTGCTTGAGTCTTGTATACTTTTATATCACCTTTTAAAGTTGAGAAGACTAAAATGACAAAACTAAAATTTTGGATGTTTTATATGACAAAATGTTATCATCCCTTCTGAAAAAAAAAAACTTATTTGATGTTTGTGGATGAAGAAAGGAATGAAATAGAATTTTTAAGGAGATATCGGAAGCAGAGGAAACATTTAAAATTCACAGATTAAGAGGAATTCCATTGTCTGGAATGCCAGAAAGCTAAGTGGTCCTTATAATGGGCAATTGTTGACTTAAAGTACAATGATATTTCATTCACTTATCAAAAGGATGCCACTGCTTTCCAGGGGCAGTGTTGACTTTTTCCAGATTGAGTCTTACTCCCTTAAATAACTTAGTGACCAACATATTGTAAGGATTTATTGAAGAAACAGATGGAAAAAGTTATTTTGGTCAGGAACTGACTGGATGTGCGATGCATGCTTCTTTGGCATTATGCCCTACCTGGCCCAGTGATGTTAGCATCAACATATAGTCTTTCAGTACACTGAAGAATGAATCAGTTTACTGATTTAGATCATGCTTGCATCCTGGGAAGGGGTTTTTAAATCACAGAGCACTGAGAAGCTGGTTAAAATAATATTTTATTTTAACAGTTCACAGAAGCCACATCCATTAAGGAAATAACAGGAAATAGAGCATGCTGTTCTCCAGTAACTCCTTATTAACTACTCAGCAATAATGAAATAGGACTTAAAAGCCTACAAAAGCTTACAAAGAAGAGAAACATTTGAAGAGATTATTTAAGAATGGGATATAGTTTAATGTATATATTTTATGATAAAATATTTCATAAAAGAAAAATAATACGTAAGTGGAACATCAACATATTAAAAATGAGCAAACATTTGTTTGTACACATCTAAGCTTGTGGCAAATACTTCAGAAAAAGATGCTTTTCTCATTCACAGCATATTGTCTTCTGAAGACTTGTGTTTTATTTTTTGTTATTGGTTTAGAGGTGGAGACAGCAGGATTACAGAATTTGAATTTTTGGTTGTGATTACTCATTTTGATTTTTAATTTTATGTTTAAATCTATGGTAAGATTAAAAATATTGTGTAATTTGTAATATTAATTTTTTTCTTATATCTGAGCTGAATCAGGCAATTTCCACTTTTTTTTCATTTCCAGAAGGCTATATATATATAGGGTTCACAAATCTATAGATAAAGAAACAGGGATACAGAATGATGTGAAAACAGAAAAATTTCCTTAGTTACACAACTACTTCAAAAAAAGCTTACTTTTTGAATTTTATGATTAATCTTTTTTTAAATGAATATTCCTCATAATGTCTCTTCTGTGATTTTTGTGAGTTGAAAACTGGCATGCAGGAGTAGGTGTTGTGGCATGGGGGGTTAGCTACCACTTGGGACTGCTGCATCCCATGTAACAGTGCCTGAGACAGAACCTTACCTCTTATGCACACTCTGGGAGTTGGCAAATTATAGATCAAGTGCTTGGGTCACTACTGCTCACATGGGAGATCTGTATGGAATCCAAGATCCTGGATCGGGCCTGGCCCAGCTCTGGCTGTTTTAGGCATTTGAAGACTCTCTCTCTCTTTCTGTGCCTAAACCTTTCAAACAAATAAAAGTAAATACATTTTCAAAAAATTAATGGAAATGGGATATTATGAAAAAATTATTCATAGATTTAAACATTGAAAAAGTCAGCTTGTGTGATACAAATTTTCTGCAGCAATTGTATAGCAGTTATTTTACTGAATTATTGATTATCTTATTATAAGTTGTTAATAGATTCAGAACTGTGCATATTAACTGTTCCTTAGCACAACAAAAGAAGGGGCTATACTACTATTTAAGACTAGATTATGTCTTAAGTGGTCCATGTCTATACAATTCATTACTATCCAAAACAGTTTTCAGAAAAGAATAAATCTTATCATCACAAGAGAATGTATAAGAACTCAAATTTTACTTTTACATTGCATGTTCTAGTTGCTAAATTATCAATAATTCAAAAGAGTTGTCTTTAGTTAGAAATTATCAAGAAACTCTACAAAGGTTTTGGAAATATTTAGGCTTATGATAGTCTGAAGTAGGAATAGACCATTACATGAATCAAGAAATATAAATATAAAAATATAAATGTGAAATTTGACTACCAGATAATTATATGAAGCAAATAAACAAATTCATTCTACTTATTGAAAAGTGTGGTGATTCATTAATCTTTTTAAATGTGATTATTAACCATTTGATAATATCTGATCTCTATATATGTCTTACGCTTCTTTGTACTTCTTTGTTTGCTTATCTATAATAAAACAATACAGAATGGTAAAAAAATGAGGGCAAAACCACATACAATGCGAGTATGTATCACGACAATGTGCAATATGTACTATTTTTTTCTTACATCTGAGCTGAAGCAGACAATTTCCACATTTTTTTTTTTCATTTCCAGAAGGCTATATATATTTAGGGTTCTTTACTTCACAAATCTATAGATAAACAGGGATACAGAATGATGTAAGTATGACAACTACTTCTAAAAAGCTTACTTTTAAAATTTTATGATTAATCTTTTTTAAAATGACTGTTTCTCTTTATGCTCTCTTCTGTAATTTTTGTGAGTTAAAAACTGGCATGCAGGCATAGGTGTTGTAGCACAGGGGATTAGCTACCAATAGCTACTAGTGGCCTCTGTGCAACAGCTGGGTGTAAGTGGGAAAGGATAACATAAACAAAAGAAAGAGATTCCAGTGAAGATGGGGAAAGCCTATTAATATATTTTTTATTCCTTACTATTTTTTTTTTCCACAGGCAGAGTGGACAGTGAGAGAGAGAGACAGAGAGAAAGGTCTTCCTTTGCCGTTGGTTCACCCTCCAATGGCCACCATGGCCGGCACGCTGCGGTCGGTGCACCGCACTGATCCGAAGCCAGGAGCCAGGTGCTTCTCCTGGTCTCCCATGGGGTGCAGGGCCCAAGGACTTGGGCCATCCTCCACTGCACTCCCGGGCCACAGCAGAGAGCTGTCCTGGAAGAGGGGCAACCGGGACAGAATCCGGTGTGCCGGCGCCGCAAGGCGGAGGATTAGCCTAGTGAGCCGCGGCACCAGCCACTATTATTTTTTAAATTCCCTTCAGGCTTATTGTATATATATATGTGTGTGTGTGTGTGTCTGTGTCTGTGTATAGTATCCACATTGTGTGTACCTATATACACATAGTATAATTATGCATTTACATATATTCCACATAATTTAATATGTAAAGTTCAGTTTTTTATTTTAACATTTTATGTATTATCATTGAATTAAAATTTTATGCAAACCTCATTTTATGAAAATACACAATGTTAAAACTATAAACCACATATTACATATAAATATAATATACCATATATATTATATACTAATTTTATGCTGGAATTTATCTATTAATTGTTAGAAAATAAGGTTTCTAATTTTTTAGGATGAGTTTTTTTTTTCCACAATATAAACTGAACAGTTTTTAAGTGTTTAAAGATGCAGTTCTAAGAATATAATGATACTACCCTCTGTCTCTCCCATCCTCCCTCCTCTTTCTTTCCTTCTTTTTTCTTTTAGTGTTTGCAATAATACACTTTCAATTTATTTTATAATCACAGGGTGAGTACCTCAGTAAATATAGTGTTAAACAAGCAAAAAGTAGAAAGATTCTTCTTCCATAGGAATATAGCCAAGGGTTATAAACAATAATCAAATCATTAGTTGTTAATTTCATACTTGTACATTCAGGTACTCTATTAGCTACTACAAATCAGAGAAAAAAATACGATATTTGTCTTTTGGGTCTGGCTTATTTCACTAAGCATAATGGTCGCCAGTTGCATCCATTTATTTGCTTAAGGCAGGATTTCATTTTTGTATGGCTGAGTAGTGTTCCATTATGTATACATGCCATCTTTTCTTTATCCACTCATCAATTGATGGATACCTATTTGATTACATATCTTAGCTATTGTGAGTTGAGCTATAATAAACATGGGGATACAGATAACTCTTTCATATGCTGATTTTATTTCTTTTGGATATATTCGCAGGAATGAGGTTGCTGGGTCATATGATTGGATAGAGTATTTTTATGGACATCAGGTTAACATACTTAATTAGCACCAGCTTTTTTTTTTAACCTTCTTTTTTTTTTTTTACAAAATATTTATTTGAAAACCAGAGTTACAGAGAGAAGGGGACAGAGAAAGAGAAAGAGAACTTCCATCTGTTTATTTCCCAAGTGGCTGAAATGGTTGGTGCTAGATCAAGTCGAAGCCAGGGGCTAGGAACTCCATCCAGATCTCTCATGTTGGTGGCAGGGACCCAAGCAATTGGGCCATCTTCTGATGCTTTCCCAGGCACATTAGCAGGAATCTGAACTGGAAATGGAGCAACTGAGGCTTGATTAGGTATTCATATGGGATGCCAGTGTTGCAGGCTATGGCATAACTCATTTGGCCACAACACTGGCTTACCCTTTTTGATTGTTATGAAACAGCAAAGACAAAACAGATATATGGGAATGAAGCCTGTAG